TAGATAGGCCTTAGTCTACTTTTCCACAACTTCTTACTGACATTGTTTAACAATTGCATATTTGTTGAATCTGGGACAATGCTTCATGAAATTTCAGAGCCTTTAAGTCTTTTTGAAGTGTAAATATCCACAGGGGACTTCTGTTAAGTTGCTAACTTGGTTCTATATCCCACCTACCCAAACTCCTCCTCTATTCTTTCCTCTCTTAGCCAACCCTTAAATTGTGATTCTGCTAAGGTATGGCAAAATAATAGACAAGACTCTCTGAACATTTTGGGAAGCATTAATCACTACTCTTTATTAATTCTCTTTTGGCACATGCAAAGGTTTCATTCTAAAATATAAAAGCATTTTATGCTTCATACAGACTTCCTCCAGAAGTGTTGAAAGACATTTCCAAGTTTTCTATTACAAATCAAAAAATAGACATTTTTAGCCTGATAAAAAAGCAAAAATACAGAGGAAATAAACGGCAAAGTCTTATCAGATTGATGCAAATTGGCAATACTAGGTCAGCCTCCAGATACTTACTTTAGATTTCAAACCATGAAAGGGTAGATATGTTTAAATGAAATAAGTGGTAAGATGATAAGCTAGCAGTATCATTGTCTGTTTTTTCAAATTTGTTTTTCTTATTGTTTCAGTTACTTTGGGGACAACAGCTTGTCACTCTTTGCAAACATAGGCAGAAACAGTGAGTACTTTCATTTTATTTCTAATCCTCCATGCAGCTACAACTGGAGAATACCATTTTTTCTCTAAACCCCCAATTTCTGGCAAACATTCAGTAATTATGTGAAGGATACATATTTCCTTTTTAATTAAATATTTTATTTATTTTGATTACAACACAACTTTTTATATATTTTTGCAAGGTGACAAGAAAGTTCTTTTGAGGGGAGGGGGAGGAGAATGTCATCCTTGTTTGTATTTCTTTTACCCATATCCTTTCCTTGTGGATAACAATGCCTCTCCAGTAGTCTCTCTCCTCTCTCCAGTTCTCCCTTCCTCTTCATCCCTATTTTGGAAATCTGGTTACCTTAAATATAAGCTATCTAATAGAAAAGGGAAAAAAATTTAATGAAGGATAAATTATTTATTTATTTATTTATTTATTTATTTATTTATTTATTTATTTATTTTTAACTAGTAATCTCTCATTTATTGAGTATTTGCTACATGCTGAGCATTTAGGTGCATGATCTCATTTCATTCCTTCAACAATGCAGTGAGGGAAGTTCTAGCCTGATACCCATTGGACGGGTAAGGCAACGAAGCCTGAGAAAGCTGAAGTAAATTTCTTATCTGGAAAGGAGCCAATACAGTGTCTTGCCCAAAGTCACAGAGCTAGTGTGTGTTAAGCCGGGATTTGGAAGGGGCTCTTGGACCTCTGCTGGGTGATCACAGCACCCCTGCTATTTAGCACTTGGTTACACTGACTCCCACGATGGTGCCAGCATATTGCATGGTTACAAATGATTTGAGATTAGACAAGGAAATCATCAGGAATTCAGGGATTTCCAGGTATTGGTCACCCTCAATGCGCTAGCGGCATCTCGCCTTCTCCTGAGCATATCTTCGGCGCTCCCTCTGACCCCTCTTCAGAGTTATTTTGGTTCCCTCATCACTTAGATTGGCACAGGGCTCACCCAACACCTGTAACCTGGGAAACTGAAACAGTCATTTACCCTAAACTCCTTGTTTCTCCATTTAAATCTAAAGCTCAGCAATTTGACTAGATCTGCTTGCCTTTTCACAAGCAGCTATGGGGCCTGGGATGCACAAATGTTGGAGAGGATGCGGAGAAAAGGGAACCCTCTTACACTGTTGGTGGGAATGTGAACTGGTGCAGCCACTCTGGAAAACTGTGTGGAGGTTCCTCAAAGAGTTAAAAATAGACCTGCCCTACCACCCAGCAATTGCACTGTTAGGGATTTACCCCAAAGATTCAGATGCAATGAAACGCTGGGACACCTGCACCCCGATGTTTCTAGCAGCCATGTCCACAATAGCCAAACTGTGGAAGGAGCCTCGGTGTCCATCGAAAGATGAATGGATAAAGAAGATGTGGTCTATGCATACAATGGAATATTCCTCAGCCATTAGAAACGACAAATACCCACCATTTGCTTCAACGTGGATGGAACTGGAGGGAATTTTTAATTTTTTAAATTATTTATTTATTTATCTATTTTTTGAGAGAGAGGATGGAGGAGGGGAGAGGGAGAGAGAGAGAATCCTAAGCAGACTGTATGCCCAGTATGGAGCCTGACACAGGGTGTAAAGACCCTGAGATGATGACCTGAGACAAAGTCAGAAGTTAGAGACTTAACTGACTGAGCCACCCAGGGGCCTGGTAGAACAAGTTTTTTACATGCCTTACCTTCATTCCAGGATTTGCTACAATGGCAGTTATCTTAACAGAGGTAGCAGCCATTACATATATTTCTATAAGGGGATACTGAAGCCAAAAGGCAGCATATAACATGGAGAAAGGCCAACAGGGGTGAATACCCCCAAATTCATGGTATCAACAATAGTATAGAATATAGACTAGACTCTGCGAGCCAGCAGGTTGTACCAATATTCAGTGCTAGTCACACTTCTGGGTGTTAGAGGTCACTTCTTCCTTGGTAGCTAAAAAGTGACATCTTTGCTATTGATGTAAACAAAACATTATGAAGAGAGATGGAGAGGGGCTTGAGTGATTTGGTAAGGGAACAATTTTGCCAATCTGCTTCTTCTCCCCAACTTGTGCACACGCTGAGCTTTGTAAGGTGTCCAAGGACATCTACTTATGCGCAGCAAGTGCAAACATTCAAGATTATGGTGAGAGTCGACCTCAAATAGCTTAGGTGGCCAATCTAAATTCCACAATCTGTTAACCTGACCTTGGCATTTCTTCAGGTGTTTCTACAGTTCTGAAACAGGAAATATTTCCATTACATAAAGGAATTTACAAAAATAATGTATCCAAACCTCATAGAGTCATTACAATATTGCATCATTTTTACAATAGAGTAAGAATTACAGACCAGCATAAAATATTGGCCAGGACCTGGGTTAACAGATTTTATTTTAAAAAAATTTTTAAAGATTTTTTAAAAATTTATTTATTCATGAGAGACACAGAGAAGCAGAGATATAGGCAGAGGGAGAAGCAGGCTCCATGCGAGGAGCCAGATGTGGGACTCGATCCTGGAACACCAGGATCACACTCTGGGCCGAAGGCAGGCGCTAAATCTCTGAGCCACCCAGGTGTCTCTTTTAATACTTTTTTTTTAATTATTTATTCATGAGACAGAGAGAAAGAGAGAGAGGTTAACATATTTTAAATGTGGGCATTTTGGGTATTTTAGTTAAATACATTGAAAATCTTTATGTCATTGGTGTTTTTCAAGCATATTGTCATTATACGTATGCTGGAGTGGACATCCAAGAGGGTAAGAGGGAAAAGGAGCATCCTGACCCAGTTGTGAACTTTTTATATATACCTAAATTTTTAGATCTTATGTGACAACTGATTTCTGCAGAATCTGGCTTATATGATGGAATAAGTTATTTTTAAAGGCACATCTGTTATTTATATTTTAAGCTTGATTTGGGTTTCTTAAGAATTTCCCTTTCAGAATTGTCCTTCTTTCAGGGTCATATCTACCCTAACAGTGGTTATATCTACAATAGAAGAAAAGCAGATTTTAAAGGCAAGATTGTTACTTGAGAACATGTGACTGCTCCCTGTGGCCTGCCATTTCCCTGAGGATGGAAGGGTGGTGTAAATCTTGCTCTCAGAAGATTCTCTGTGGAGGGCTGTCGTTCACAGCTCCCTGGGTGGCACGGAGCAGGACACACACATTGTGACACAGAATGTGTAGGAAAGAACAATCAAGGTTGAACAATGCACTGCCATCATTTCAAATGTCTCAGACTATCAAAACTTCTGTAGAGAGAAGATTAAATATATTTCTCAGCAGTCATAGTGGTGCTTGTTTTGCTTTTTAAAACAAGCCCTTGGGGAATCCTAGGGTGGCTCAGTGGTTTAGCCTTTGGCCCAGGGCATGATCCTGGAGACCCGGGTCAAGTCCCACGTCGGGCTCCCTGCCTGGAGCCTGCTTCTCCCTCTACCTATGTCTCTGCCTCTCTGTGTGTGTGTGTCTTTCATGAATGAATAAATAAAATCTTAAAAAAAAAAATAAAACAAGCCCTTGCTGGTGCCTACTTCTGAGCAACACACAACTTCATTGTAGATGTCCAGGGGCTTAGTCACATGGCCCACCCCCTCTCTGTGCCTCTCAGGGAGGACAAGGGGTGTGTCAGCAGGGTCCGCTACTGAGTCACCGAAGCCCTTACACTGTGAGCACTCAGCAATGGGTGATCAGCAGGATGACACATCCCATCGTGGTTGTGGTTTTCAGAAACTAGTAAACACTGAAATCTTGTTTTAGCTACAAACAGAAACAAATATTGTTACATTGCTTTTTCTTTTAAAGGTGTGTACTACGTGACTATGCAATGTACTCTTATACAAGAGCACACACCCCTGGTAATTCAAATCCCTATGGTGAGACTTAAGAGAGGTGTGGGCTTAAGATCTAAGTAGGTATAAGTAGTAATTACCAGATAAGGTTCATTACCATGGAAACCTAAGGGTGAAGCAACTGAAAACGGTGACTTTATACGACCTTGAGTTTGCTCATTTCTTTTTTTTTAAACAAATGACCCTTCTTTTTTTTTTTAAGATTATTTATTTATTTATTTATTTGAGAGAGAGAGAATGAGCAGGAAGAGAGGCAGACAGAGGGAGAAACAGGCTTCCCACAGAGCAATGAGCCCGACGATGTGAGGCTGGATCCCAGGACCCTGGGATCATGACCTGAGCCGAAGGCAGATGCCCAACTGACTGAGCCACCCAGGTGCCCCAAGTTTGCTCATTTCAATTAAAGGATACCCTGTGGCTTTATCATCCCTGAATTTTGCCTGTACAAATTCAACATTTTTTTTTTTTCAGAGGGACTGGTTCTTTATTTCAAAAAGACACTTGTCAATTTTCAGTATCAAAACAGTTTGCACTATTGGTTTCTTTCTCCCAATCGGCCCCCAAAGAGAGGCCACCAAAGGAAGAGTGCATTTTAAGCCAATAAGCTGCAGGATGCACACCTAACAGACCTCACGGAAACCTCACCTAAAAGGGGAGTTGGGGAGGGAAAGAAACTTTTAAAAGATCAGCACACTGTCAGCCCACAGACTGTAGAGAGTTCTCAGCCAGACGGGGTGGTCAATGTGCTCCAACCCTAAAGAAGCAAAGTTTCAAAATAATATAAAATTTAAAAACAGTTTTGTACATAAGCTATTCAAGATTTCTCCAGCACTAACTGATACAAAGCACGATGAGATGGCACGTTTAGAGGCAGCAGCTTTGGACCCAGAAAAGGGTGATGAGATGAGTTTGATTCAAGTGGCTAAATCAGTGGCGAACATAATTCTCTTTTTTCTTTCAAGGAGGCAGGAGAACAAATAAGTGGTCACCTCGACATAAGGGGAACATGATCCATTCTGTAAGCAGTTAGGACAAAGATAGGACAAGGATTTGGTCTCAGATCGAGGTCTCACCATCTTAATTTTTGTTTGGTCACATCTGATGGAAAAAAAACATTATGTTGCTCAAAGATAACCTTAAAGCTGAAACCCTTAGCCACACTTTTTTGGCCAACTTCTGGAATCACCTTTCTAATTTGGCTGGTATTTTGGACAGAGCAACGAGGCTCCAGTATTCATTAGGCTGAAAAGTTAATTCCAAATGGGAGGAAGGGGTTAGACTGCTGCTTCAGAACTGTGTAATTATTTGGAATGTTTTACAAATGTCCTACATCAACTACAACAAAAAAGGTAATTACAAAATTTGTACATCACAACATGCTTTTAAAGACACTTTGCATTGTGCTCACATTCCCTTAAACATTGTTCCCAAAGGTGCTCAGCCTCAAACCCAACTGGAATCTCTAGGGAGAGGCAGAGACAGTTTGGTGAATAAGACACAGGGGTAGGGGTGGGAGAGGCAGCAAAAGGAGAAAGCAGCCTTCCAGTTAAAGATCAGCCCTCAGTTTCAAGGCCAGCTTCGGGCAGGCTGGGCCTCAGGCAGAGTCAGGGTCAGAGGGAGGAGCGGCGGCACGGTGGGACTGAGGTGCTCTACATCTCATTCAGGTCAAGCAGAGTCTGGTCCAGCATCCTTTGTGTACACAGGTGCTCCTCTTTGGTGCATTTCAGCTTATCTTCCAAATCATCAATTGTCTTCTCCAGCTTGGCTACCGATCTCTCAGCAAACTCAGCACGGGTCTCTGCCTCCTTGAGTTTATCCGTGAGAATCTTTATCTCTTCCTCATATTTGTCTTCCTTTTGAGAGTACTTTTCCTCAGCAGCACTCAGACACTTCAGGTTCTGGTCCATCAGCCTGATCTGCTCATCCATCTCTCGGCAACGGGACTCTGCCAGCTCAGCTCGTTCCTCTGTACGTTCCAAGTCCCCCTCAATGATCACCAACTTCCTAGCCACCTCTTCATACTTCCGGTCTGCCTCTTCTGCAATGTGCTTGGCCTCTTTGAGTTGGATTTCCTGGAGTTCCATCTTTTCTTCATCTTTTAAGGCTCGATTCTCAATAACCTTCATACCTCTCTCACTCTCATCAGCAGCTTTCTCCGCTTCCTCCAGCTTTTGCAGGGCAGTGGCCAGGCGCTCCTGGGCGCGGTTCAGCTCCTCTTCAACCAGCTGGATCCTACGGTTCAAGGAGGCCACCTCAGCCTCAGCCTGCTCCCGGGCCCGCCTTTCCCCCTCCACTTCCCGCTGCAGGCGCTCGGCCCTCTCCTCTGCGTCATCGGCTTGCTGCTGCAGAACCTGGATCTTACGCTTCACCGCCTCGATGGTGGTGATCCCGGCCATGGTGCCCACCCAGCCCCTGCTCGCGCTCGGCTTCTCGCCTCCTCCGCTCCGCCCAAATTCAACATTTTTAATAACTCATATAATTTTATATGATGTTGAAATGAGAATTATAAGTATAGAAATTAGATCTACAAAAAAATCTTCTGCACAGATTTGTCTATTCTTTCCTATTATTTATTTAATCACTGGATATTTATTCAGTGCTCTGAGTTATAATCCAATACTATTTTATCTATTTTCTTGCTCAAATTGTTCCAGTTTTGGTCATTGGGAGATTTTTCAGTTAGCTCCTGTGTCAATTAGACATATTCCTGTCATTGTGGGGGGTTTTGTTTTGTTTTCTTTTAGTTTCGTTTTGTTTTTCTGCTGTTTTACTATTGCTTTTCTTTGAGTTCTTCCTTATTTTCTGTCACTACAAGGTGCTGCAAGCTTACCTTGTATATTTCCTGCCCCCAATCTTAAATAAGCCATTTCTCCAGGGAGTCTTGGTTGTTTTTATGGGAGAATGTCATTAGAAACCAGTATCTTCTTGCATGGGCACTGTTGTTCTTAAGTCCTCTCAGTTGGCAAACCAATAAGTATACATGTGTGTACAAATCAGCATACGTGCACGTCTATAAACGTTTTGGTGTGTATTCATTTGGATCTATATTAAGATAAACATGAATTGCTACTGATGTCCCCGATGTAATACCGCGTATATCATTCTAGCCTCTCCCCTTGGCTTATCTGTAATCTTCTCCAAAAGTGAGAAACTTGGCTCCCAACATCCACCACCAATTTACTCTTTGTTCCATTCTGGTAGACCTATCTAGTGGTTTTAACATTAACCCACTCCAGTGGGGCTCATCTTTCCAACAGAATGCAGTGCTTAAGCACAAATTCCTTTTCCCTTTGGTTATATAGTCTCTATTCATTTCCAAAGTTACTTAGATCAGCAGCCTTCTCCCCACCCCCTTTGGTAAGATTATTCCCCATGTTCATAGTATAGATAGATTATTTTGGCATAGTCTGCATTTCATCCTGGGATCCCTCAATCTCTTAAATGATGTTTTAAATTTGCATATATTAAAAAAAGAAATGCTGTTAGCAGTTGTTTATCGCTGTTAGTACTCCAGCTTCATTCCAAAGAAAGTTAACGCACTTGTCCATGAAGCCTCCCTAAATCGTTACAGACTATAAGAATTCCTCTTTGACTTGAGACGAGTTTCTTTGTTGTATTTTACCTAAGAGACTGCTTAGTCTCACAAGGAAGAAATCAAATGACTTTCAAAACCTTATAAAATATACTATGGTAAAGTCAGCACACCTGTTCTGGCTCCAGAATTGATTTTCCTTTTCTGGCTTTGTTCAGATACCTGCCTGACTTTTGCTCTTGGTCCCCAGCCCATCCCTTCCTTACTTTGTCACCACATTGTTTTTGCCTTATCTTTATTTTTATCTCGTGAAAATACTATTTGGCATCAGCTTGACTAAATATGAACCTCATTTGTTTCCTTAAAATAATGCTTACGTTAAATATGCATGCTAAATTCTCTCATTTTCTCACTACCAAGGGTGGAAAAAATGATGATTATTCTAGCTTTCTCTATATAGGGCTTAAATGGAATAAACCAATTTACTAGCATAGAAATTTTTGAAACCTGTGCCTTAATCTGTGTGTTCTCTAGAAAAATGCCCTTTTACCCCCTAAAGAAATTTGCATACATTAAGGTTCACTTTTCATGCTGTAAAGTTCAACTCCTCACTGGAAGAGCTGGAACATAAACCTCCTGCTGCCCCTGTTAAGGGAGAGATGCACGCAATGACTTCCTTCCAAAGAATGGAGTGTGGAAGATGAGAGGACAAGAATTCTATCATGGAGAAACCTGACAAACACTATCTCAGCCAGGTAATCAAGGTTAACATCATCAGTCTTAAGTCATATTGCCAGCATGTACCCTGCCATGATATGATGAGATCTTCCTCTCCATACCCATAACTCTGTCTAATCATGAGAACAACATCCGGGAACCCCCAATTGAAGGAAATTCTACAAAATACTTAACTAAGCTGTTTTCAAAACTGTCATAGTCGTGAAAAACAAGGAAAGTCTGAGAAGTCCAAAGAAACAAGATAACTAAATGCAGTGTGGTATTCTGTATGGGATCCTGGAACAGAAAAAGGACATTAGGTTAAAAAAAAAACTAAAGGTATCTAAATACAATACAGACTTTAGTTAATAATAATGTATTAATATTGGTTCATTAGTGGCAACAAGTGTACCATACTAGTGTTACCAGTAGGGGAAAATTGGGTAGGGCCTCATGGAAGACCTTTTTAACTTTTCCATGAATCTAAAAATATTCTAAAATAGTTTATTTTAAAAGACAAATAAAATAGAAAAAATTAGATCTGATACCTTAAGAAAAAAAAGATTTGTAAATTTGAGAAAAAGAGACTGTTGGGAGATTTTGCTTCCTTTGGCTTATAAAATATATTGCTACTACTAATCTTACAGGATTTTGACTGTTTTTTCTTTTCTTTTCTTTTTTTTAATCCAAAAGTAGGCCACTGCCTATGAATCTAGCAAGTAGGAATAACCCAAAGGAACTCATCTCTGAAGATGCATTTAGATTGGTTTTTTTGCATTAAGAATGAATTGATGACCCAAAAACCTTATTTCAAATGCTAATCAGCATCTATTAAACAGAAAATTGTTATATTCTGGAAAACTATCTGGGTCCTCCTATAATCAGTAATTGGGGTGTAAGTTCATGTCTACTCTGATATTATTGCTCTGGAACATATTAGACTATGTTTTTTTTTTTTTTTTAGGTAAAAACTGGATTTCTCAACTCTGTTGGTCAGCTCAAAACCTACACAATAGGAAATTTTTTCTTTGTTATGGTGAAATACATATAACATTTTAAAGTGTACAATTTAGTGACACTAATTAAATTTACAATGTTAGGAAACCATAACCACTATCTCGTTCTAAAACTTTTTCATCAAAACAGAAACTCTGTATCCATTAAACAAAAACTTCCCATTCCCCACTCTCATCAGCCCCTGGTAATCTGTGATCGACTTTCTTTCTCCATGAATTTGCTCATCCTAGACATTTTGTCTAAGTGAATCATACGATATTTGCCCTTTTGTATCTAGTTGATTTCACTTAGCATAATATTTTTAAGGTATATTCATGTTGAGACATCTATCAGAATTTCATTTTTAGAAGGCTGAATAATATCCTTTTGTATGTATAAACCGCATTCTATTTATCCATTCATTTGTTAGTGGAATTAAGAGTAGTCCCAACTTTCAGCTATATGACACAATAGGTTTTAGAAGTGCAATGCTTAAAAAAAAAAAAAAAAAGAAAGAAAGAAAGAAAAAGTTTGTTAAATTTTCCTGGAATTCAAAATTTGGCTTCATTGTTATTAGCTTTGATACCTATCATTTAATATCAAATGATAAATGAATATGCCAGAAATCAGCCACTGAATTTTGTGCCACTGGTATCGTCAGAGGTGGCTCTAGAAGCCCAGGTGAAAGTCATAGCCGAATAGGTAGCATTCTCTAAGAAAGTCTTGCTTTTGTTGTTTGTTCAGGTGTATCTGGTTCTGATTTTGCACAGCTCTTAAACGTTACACCCCTGTCTCGTTTCCTTTTCTTTCTCCCTTTTGTCATGGCTATAGTATTGTCAAGAAACTCGGGTTTCACGTTTTGATTGATGTATGTTGATTTTTAATTAGCACACCAATTACCACCATAGTTTATAAATCAAGTTCTGCTAGCTGGCATAATTAACGATGCTGCACATATGAGAATATGAGCTCAATCAATTGTGGTTGGTAGAATTTATCTGTGGAGTTTGTATGCCCCAAATGCAGCACCTCTTTACCCTGAAAGTAGATTCTCCAGGAGCCCTTCCTTAATTAGTAGTATTACTATTCACCTAATTACTCAAGAAAGACCCCAAGGAATTACTCTTGGCTCCTTCCTTTTCCTTACTTCTTCCTATAAATCCTAGATTTTGCCTTGCATCAATTTTTATCAAATCATCTCCTACTCTGTATTCTTTGGTCATGGCTTGCAAAGTTATCATGGAAGCCCTCATCATTCCTTCTGGAGAGTCAGACAAAAGGGGCCCTTGCCCTAGGTGCTGAGCTATAGAAGGACCAGCATATCACAAACACAAGAGATTGTTGAGGAGCACATGGTGACTGTCATTCAGGATGTGAGGCTCAGAGCTGGGACAAATGTGGGTCAAGCCCCAGGGAAGCATTCTTCCATGTCTCTTCTCCCACCTCTTCCCTCCATTCCCTCAAATAAAAGGCAACTATCTGTATGCTATTAAAGGTGGGAATTATGTCATTCTATATGTAAGAGGAAAATGCTGCTTTCTTCATGCCACTAAAAAATTGAAGTGGGCAAGTGTTTAGCTGAAAGGAAAGACAAATGAATCAGCTTGCTGTCACGGGCTGAATTGTGCCTTCACAATCCATGTGTTGAAATCCTAATCCCCACTCCCTCAGATTGTGACTGCATTTGGAGATAAAGTCTTTAAAGAGGCAATTAAGTAAAAAAGAGGTCATTGGGTGGGCACTAACTCAATATAACTGCTATGTTTATAAGAAGAGGATATCAGGACACAGACACACGCAGAGGAAAGACCATGCAAAGACATAGGGAGAAGACCGCCATTTATAAGCCAAAGAGAGAGTCCTCGGAAGAAATCAACCCTGATAATATCTTAATCTTGGACTTCTAGCATCCTACACTGTGAGGAAAAAAATTTCTGTTATTGAAGCCACCTGGTCTGTGGTACTTTGTTACGGTGGCTCTAGCAAACTAATACATCTGCCAAAGTTCTTCCTCACAGATAGCATAACAAATATTGGTTTGCACACATCTAGATATAATATGTATGCCACATAATGGCAATTTTAGTATTAGCAATGAAGCGAATATTAAAAGTAAAATAGCAAATACTTGTGTTTTTATAAACATGCAATAGGATTCCATTGGATTTTTAAAAAACTCAACAAGAATTTTGTCTTC